ACAGCAGAAATCTCATTCAGTTTTGCTTTCCTTCACACTGATTCTAATTCCCATAGATTCTATCCAGGAGGGGAGAAAATAAATCCTTCTAAACTGTGTTCTAAGGAACACAGAAGGTTTATGAAGGTGTTGATGGGGATGAGGATGAGTGTTAGGATAGTATCCCTACATAATGAGCCGTTATTGAGAGATTCCCAAGTTCAACAAGGTGCTTAGCTATGTGTTCTGCATAGATTCTTTCATCTGCCAAGTCGTCTACAAAGCTTAAATTCCACATTATTATATTTATAGAATAGAAAGGAGCACAGCTGTTTATGTAACTTGTATTAGGTGTTCCCGTTGAACACACTGAACCCATGTTTGATTGAGCTGTCTGGTTACTGACTCAGGACATTGGGCAGGAGAAGCTGGACAGGTTATCTCCTAAATAAACCAGTTATTTCCCTTCCCTGTCACCCCAGATGAGACTTCTTTCTCACTAGGCACTACTGACTGGGGGTGTATGGTATAGTATAGATTAGTATGTGGCACCTGGTGCCACAATTTAGGAAGAGTGGCTGAGACCATAGGAAAAGTCTCAGAAAGAGAAGACACACAACCATTCAGCACAGATCTCTTTCTGGTACTTCAGCCACCATCATCCTCCTGCATTCATGTAACCAGCCCACTCAGTCTCAAAAGGAGTTATAAGCCAGATGTAGTGACACATACCTATAATCCCAGAGGCTTGGGAAGTTGAGGCAAGAAGATCGTAAGTTCAAAACCAGCCTCAGCCTTAGCAAGACCCTGTTTCAAAATGAAAAAGTCTGGAGATGTGGCTTGGTGGTAGAGTGCCCCTGGGTTCAATCCCCAGTTCCAGGGGTGGGGTGGAGGGAAGGAGGCATGAAATCAGGTTGGGATTTCATTATTACTACTCAGGAAACTTATAAATTAAAAATATACCTGAGATGTGCTTGCAGTTAAGACCTCTGGACCTTTGCTTAAAATATTCAGGTGGTTGGGAAATAATAAAAAAAGATTAGCAGATCTTACTGAGAGCTTGGCAATTTAATTTACTGCTGTCAGTTCCATTTATTATTTTTTGAACATAGGGCAGGTTGTGAGTATCTCTGAGATTAGCGTTGTCATCTGAATTGATTTCAACTTGAACCAGTTGTTGAGTATGGATTAAAGAAAATATGGGTACTATGTGATTAATATGTGATCATATATAAAATAAGGCAAGTACAATTAATACTTATTATTGGTTATGGTAAGTATTTTCTTTATGTCATTCAACTAAAATATCTTGTGGTTAAAATACTGTCCTCTAACTACATATTATAACAGTTCCCACTTGGGTAAGTTGAGAGGTACAAGAATTTTGAAAGGATTGTCATTAACAATAAGCTTACAATTTAAATGATGTCTCTCAGGTCTTGCTACATATCAGCTAAAGTGCCAGAAATGTGTGTACTACAGGGAGAGACTTAAAAGCACATATTGATGTCAAGTAGGCCATTCAGGGGCAGTAGATGTTGCATTATATACTACTTAGATGAGTCTTAGGGCTTCTTTGGTAAGTTTTTAAGGAAAATATATGGATTTTTAAATCAATATTGTCATGGAAACATTAACAATGACATCTACTTATCAAATGACTGTGACTGCCATTGAGGGAGAGCTGTGAAGGATAATGAAATCATGCAGAGATAACAAGAACTCAGATTTCATCAGTGGTAATTCAAATCTCAATATGCTTTTAGTTATGAAGCAAAGATTCCTCAGTGTGTATATTTTCAAATTGGTATTTTATTTATGATAATTATAGGTAATATTATTGCACCACTTTTAAGTGCCAGAAAATATTCTTAGGCAGTGATTCTCTATCCTGGTTTAACCAATTTTGTCTCATCATTCCCAGTTGTGAAACATGTAGAAAAGTTAAATATGGTATATGAAATAAAAGTGTAAGTATATCATATTAATAATATAATTCACTATAATATCATATTACATTAATCATAATTTATACAATAATATATAAACCCTGGATTATTATTTTTAACCTATTTTAATTCACCTGTGTCAATTTCTTTGGAACATTTGCATAACTGAGAACTTCGGTTTTCCAAAAACTGTATATACATATATTCTGATGAAGTTGATTTTGGCCTAATCCAAGGGTATCTAAATATTTTAAAATTTGCATGAGTAAATACACAGATATATGAGATTCAAGAAACACTATTTAATCAATTTCAAAAATTTAAAAATTTCTTATAACAACATTATAAGTTATGTATTTATTTTCCCCATTTTTTCATATGGGAAATCTGTTCCCATGTGTTTATAAATCTGTCCCCAGACTTTTCTTGTTTGACTTTTATCCCTATTAAATCCCAGTGATGCCTGACAAAGTAATGAGTCTGAGTTTCCCTCACATAGCTAAAGTAAAAGAATTGATGTGAAAATGTATATGTAAAAAGGTTGGCATTACTATAGTGACACAGCCACATCAATGTTTATAACAGCTCAATTCACAATAGCTAGTCTATGGAACCAAACTAGGTGTCCCTCAATAGATGAATGGAAAAAGATAATGTGATATATATATATATATATATATATATATATATATATATATATTGACTTATATACATACACGCAGACATACATACATACACTCAATTTAGTATTACTCAGCTTTAAATAATAGTGAAATTATGGCATTTTACAGTAAATTGTTGGAGTTGGAAAATATCATGCTAAGTGAAATAAGCCAATCCCACAAAACCAAAGACCAAATGTTTTCTCTAATATGCAGATGCTAATTCACAATAAGGCGGGGGGCACTAAGGAAGAACAGCGTTACCTTAGATTAGGTAGAGGGAAGTGAAGGGAGGGGAGGAGATGTGAGGATAGGAAAGATAGTAGAATTAGCATAAATTGTTACTGTATGTATATATGTGATTGCATGACCAATGTGATTCTGCAACATGTAAACTCAGAAAAATGAAATTATGTTCCATATATGTATGATATATCAAAGTGCATAAATGCATTCTACTGTCATGTATAACTAATTAAAATAAATAAAAAGAATTAAAAAAAAGGTTGGGACTGAAACTTGGCTTTGGGGTATCCCTGGTGCTTAAGTTCTCAACTGTGAGAGGATTTATGATTAGAGAAACAGTGAAGCACAGCATCAGGTCACTGTAAATTATAATATGAAAAGTGCAAAGAGCTGTTTTCCTCACTAGATGTTTATGGGTTGATTCCAGTGTTATGGTATAAAATAAAAAAAACCATCCAAAGTATTATAAATTCTTCATTATTTAATCAGTGTCAGGTGAAGGGTACACTAGTGCCACATATCTGGTCTATGATGGCATTGACTGTGCGCAGTTGCCTAAAACATATTTTTAAAAAATTTAAGTTTGTCTAAACCAAGAATAATAGTAATATAATAAATGATTCTTTTTTCCTTTTACTGAATAATTTCATTTTTTGAAAAATCTATCTTTAACAATATTCTTTTTATCTATGTCATTGTGTGTATTTCTTTTTTTTATTTTTTGGTTCTAATTAGTTATACATGTCAGTAGAATGCATTTTGACACATCACATATAAATGGAGTATAGCTTCTCATTCTTCTGATTGCACATGATGTGGAATCACACTGGTTTTGTAGTCATATATGCACATAGGGTAATAAAGTCCAATTTATTCTCCTATCTTTCCTACCCCTGTATGACCTCCCCTCCCTTCACTGCCCTCTGCCTTATCCAAAGTACTTCTATTCTTCCCTACCACCCCCCCCCCCATATTGTGACTTAGTGTTGCATATCAGAGAAAACGTTTGGTCTTTGGTTCTTTGGGACTGGCTTATTTTGCTTAGCATTATATTGTTCAGTTCCATTCATTAACCTGCAAATGCCATAATATCATTCTTCTTTAAGGCTCAGTAATATTCTATTGTGTATGTATACCAAATTTTCTTTATTCACTCATCTGTTGAAGGGCACCTAGATTGGTTCCATAGTTTAGCTATTGTGAATTGAGCTGCTATAAATATTGAAGGGGCTGCATTACTGTAATATGCTGATTTTAATCCTTTGGGTATAAACTGAGGAGTGGGATACCTGGGTCAGATAATGTTTCCATTGCAAGTTTTCTGAGGAATCTCAATACTGCTTTCCAGATTGATTGTATCAATTTGCAGTCCCACCAGCAATGTATTAGTGTACCTTTTCGCCCATGTCCTTGCCAACATTTATTATTGCTTGTTCTCTTGATAATTTCTATTGAATGATTCATAAAAGACAAACAGTATTAGACTGAGAACTTAGATCCACAAAGGAGGGAAATTAGAATACCTAGAAGGACAGAATCCTGGAAGAATTCTGCATTATATGCATTATATGAATTTGTACCATTGTCTTAGAATGTGATAAGGTATATTAGACTGCTTTTTACTTTACTTTAATTAAAATGAACTTTATTTCTAAAAGGAGAAAAAGTATTTCTCACCCTTTTTTTCCCCAGAGTTAATCTGTATGCTACTGTGACTGTGAACTTTTTATACCTGGTGTTAGGGGCCTTCTAACATTGTTCACTTGAGCATGTTTAGGAGGGTAGGTTAGGTGTTGCCCACTCATTCCTAGATCCTCAGGGACCTGAGGCAAGTTAGAGACCAACCTCGGTAACTTAGCAGGACCCTGTATCAAAATGAATCAAAAAGGGGCTGGGGAGGTAGTTCAGGGGTAGATGGCTTGCCTAGTATGGGTGAGGCTGTGAGTGGAATAATAATAAAAAAAGTAGGTATGTACAAGAGGAAGTGAAGGATAGAAAAACAATAATGAGAGAGTTCCAAGATGTCACAATGTGAAATATTGTTTAATGTGTATTGACCTCAATGTGGATAACTACTTGTGAAGGCTTGAATTAAATGCATATATGGAGTGCTCAACACTTGCTAATTTGTTTCCTTTTCCCCATCCTCTTTTCTATGTTAAAGGTGTCCAAACATTATAGAAGCACTAAATGTAACAGACATCTTAGAATTCCATCTCCTGGGTCTCTCAGCTGATCCAGAATTGCAACCTGTCCTCTTTGGACTATTCCTGACCATGTACCTGATCACAGTGTTTGGGAACCTACTCATAGTTATGGCCATCAGCTTTGACTCCAACCTCCACACCCCTATGTACTTCTTTCTCTCCAATCTGTCCTTGGCTGACATCTGTTTTACCTCTACCACTGTTCCAAAGATGTTTGTATACCTCCAAACTCACAGTAGAACCATCTCCTATGAGGGCTGCCTGACACAGATGTCTCTTTTTCTCATTTTTGGATGCATGGATGATCTGCTTCTGACTGTGATGGCCTATGACTGTTTTGTGGCCATCTGTCACCCCCTGCATTATCCAACCTTTATGAACCCTCAACTTTGTGGCTTGTTAGATTTGGTGTCTTTTTTGGTTAGCCTTTTGGAATCCCAGCTGCACAATTTGATTGCATTACAGTTTACTACCTTCAAGGATGTCAAAATTGCTAATTTTTTCTGTGACCCTTCTCAGGTCCTCAGTCTTTCCTATTCTGGCACCTTCATCAATATCATGGTAATGTATTTTGTTGGTGCTGTATTTGGTGTTTTTCCGATCTCAGGAATCCTTTTCTCTAACTATAAAATAGTTTCCACTATTCTGAGAATCCCATCCTCAGGTGGGAAATATAAAGCCTTTTCTACCTGTGGGCCTCACCTATCAGTTGTTTGTTTATTTTATGGAACAGGCTTTGGAGTGTACCTTGGTTCAGCTGTGTCACATTCTTCTAGAAAATCTGCAGTGGCCTCGGTGATGTACACAATTGTCACCCCCATGCTGAACCCCTTCATCTACAGCATGTGGAATAGGGACATTAAGAGTACCCTAAAGAGGCTCCACAGTAGAATCATGTAACCTCAGGATCTTTGATGTCCATTTGATGGATAGTTTGGAAAAAGCAATAAAAGCTAGCATGTAGACCTGTAAATCCCACCCCTTTGGTTACATTATTTTGTAGTTGATAACTTTAATTTCTCATGTTTCATTGTGGAATGGTAGTTGTTGGGGTTTTTGGATGAGATTAAAGGGAATTTGAAAAATGTTTTTATTAGTGCATTATAGTTATACATTTGTTCCATTTCAATCTATGTACTTCTACCTTCCCTCCCTTTTCCCTTCACCTGCTCCCCTTCCTCACTTTGGTACTCTTTTATTTATTTATTTTTAAGTTAGTGGTTTACAAATATACATAAAGATATGTTCATGGCATGGTTTGGTCAATTTTATTCCACTATTTCTCCTTTTTCCCATCTGTCCTCCCTCCCTCTCAACCCCCTACCTCACTCCACTGATCTGCTTTCTCTTTTCAAGATCTTCTACCCTCATTGTTTTCCATATTTACTTCAAGCTTTTACACATTAGAGAAAATATTTGGCCTTTGACTTTCTGAGTCTGGCTTATTTCACTTAGCATGATATCTCCAGTTCCATCCACTTAACTAGGAAATGCCACAATTTTATTCTTTTTATGGCTGAGTAAAACTCCATTTTGAATATATACCACATATTATTTATCAGTTTTTCTGTTACATATGTTTTCTGGTCCCATAACTTAAAAAGGGGTATAAAGTTTCAGTTTAGAAAGGTGAAGAATTTCTGTGAATGGATCTTGGTGATAGTTTCCTATCAATATGAATGCAATTAATACCATCAAACTGTGAATTAAACCAGGGTTGAAATGATAAATTTTTATTGTGTGCATTTTGCCACAACAGAAAGTATAAATAATAATCAGATGGCTCATAAATTTAAAAAAGTTATTTCTATGGATATGCTAAAGAAATAGCATAAAGAGTAGGGTATAGGTAAATATGATTCATCCTGAGACATATTTTTGAATTCACATCACTCCAGACTCCAGGGCATTTGAAAATTTTATTCATTATTAAGCTCATTTTTTCCCATTGTAATGAAATTCTTTCCATTAGGTGGCCAACATGGCCTGGAGATGAGTGTTATTCCCTCCACTTTGAGTAATGAGTATAAGCAGAGAGGTGGAGAGATTTATATACTTACTGCACATAGAATCAGTTGATCAATATGGGACTAAAATGATCATTTTCTCATTTCCATTGTAGGTCATTCTCTGTTTTAGTGGCACAAAATAGAAATATTATTCCTAATACCAGATAAAATTTCTTGGTGATTTGTTATGGCATGATTATTACTGTACAGACTACAATGGTGTTTCAGTAGTAGAACTTCAGAATATGAGAATGTTTTTAATAATGACTTATTTTTCCTTTGGACAACAAATATACATGTCTAATAGTAAAGATGAATATCCATCAATTGTTGGAAGTCAAACAAATATAGTCCACCCTCATATCATATAAAATTTTTTTAGTGTGATATAGAGAAAGGCAGGACCTTTTAAGGATTGTTGTAATAATAAACTGACACATTGAATGATGTTGCTCCCTCCAGTTAAAGTCTGTGTTTGTGTTAAAGCATCTGTTGTAAAGGATGTACTTCAAAGACAGAATCAAATCCAGCTGTTGATGTAAACAAGACATTTCAGGGCCATATGTATTGTGTTGTAAACTACTTAGGTGAGCTTACTATTTTGTGTAAGGGACTATTTAGTGACCTTCCCATAAAAGCCCTAGGTTGGGTGAATATCCATGTATTGACATTTCCACTCAGTGTTTGTCCTCTGCAGTTCCCAGGATCACACCACTTTGAGAGATGACACTAAACTCTTAACTACAATCACTTCAGAGAAAAGCCACATACTAGTCAACCTTCGGAAAAACAAAAACTTGTTGATGGTGTTCTCCACAGTTCCTCTAATCCAGGTATAAACTTGTAGTTGTACTCTGGAATAGGTTGAAAAGTTAATTATTAAAGATAATAAAATTGCTATCACATTATATAAAGTGTTAAAGGGGAAGAGAGAAAAATTGGGAAAAGAAGAGAAAAGACAGAAAAGAATAATATAAACCAAGGTAAAAAAAGAAGAAAAAGATGAATGGGGGGCAAAATTTGAGGTAGTAGCTGGTAATGTAAGAGGAAAAGAGGGGCTAAGAGGAGTGGGTGTATGGAATGATTCCACTCAATGCTTTAAAACATAGAAAAATACAATCAAATAGGTCAGGGACACAATATTGAATATAAGGGTAACAACTATGAAATCAAAATGAATAATATAGGTATGGTCAAAGTTGATGTTAGAGCTGTTTATAGTAAACTGTGCGAAGGAGAAGGTAATTCATATTGAGTTTTATTGTTCTGGACTTCATCAGGATTTGGGCCATTAGAATATGTCCATTACTCTTCAGCTTTTTATCCTCCAAAGGTGCCAGGGCACAGGAGCCACTCCCATGGTTGCTATGGACCCCTCATCAGCCAGTTCACAGTTTTCCTTTGTCAGTCCAGGGGCCTGAGGCTGGATGCTCAGAGGGTGCTGTGCTGCCCTGGCTGGCTCTTTCTACTGGGTGCAGGAGTATAGGATAGAGGAATCAGGGCTGTTGCCCTCCTCAGGGCCCTCTTCAAATTGGCATAGAACCTGGTGATTAATTCACCGATTGGGTTAAGGCTCTGGTAACCCAATCATTTGTTCTCTAATCCTTCTTGCATTGTCTCATACATGAGCTTTTGAGGGACACATTACATCCAAACCAGAACATATTATTTTTGGAATCTAAGTGTATTTATCAAAATTTAAAATCTATCAAGATTAATAATAGGAGTCATATATTAAATGATTTTTAAAAGATAAATCAGGCATTACCCCCATGTGCTGCCTCACTGTGTGGGAGTATGACAAGTCAGGACGGCTAAAGGATATCTTGTTAGGAATTTCCAGCAATAGTGGGGTGCGCCGGAACCTGGAGGAAGGATTTCCATCGCACGAAGATCGGCTACGGGGACTCAAACGCGAGAGGTTTGTCGCACGGAGGGTAAAACTGCTTATTCAGCAAATCGCCCCGCGGCTAGAGTCTGCAACGCGCGCTGGGATAGAGACGCAGGGTTACAGTGCTGCAGTTTCTGCCAGCCGCGCAAGCACCGCACTCAGGGCTGAATTCTGGGTTCGAGACGGGGGAAGGAAGCGGTCCATCTCGGTTCTCCACACCGGTCAGACCACAGAGGAGGCCAGCAGCCACCATGTTGGTAAACTGACGTCACCATACCTGTTTTTGACTGACCGCAGCTCATTCAGCCATAGAACAGGTAATTTCAGGCTGCAATTCGCCTGCGGCTTGCAGACAGATTGCTAGGGTTCAGCGCCTGGGTGCTTCTTAAAATCTGATCTTATCGGAGTGAACACCGAGCGCGGGGCGGCCGAGTTCCGGCTCCCGGAACCGTCCCGGAACCGCCCTGGCTCAGGGCTGCGGAGCCTGCGGAGGCTGCTTCTTGGACCCTGCTACTATTAGAGCAAACACCAAGCACTAAGAAGCCGAATTCCGGCTCCCGGAACTGAGCCCGCGGGGACTGCTTCTTGGAGCTTACACTTATAGGAGCTTACACCGAGCACGGAGCGGCCGAGTTCCGGCTCCCGGAACCGTCCCGGAACCGCCCTGGCTCAGGGCTGCGGAGTCTGCAGAGGCTGCTTCTTGGACCCTGCTACTATCAGAGCAAACACCAAGCACTAAGAAGCCGAATTCCAGCTCTCGGAACTGAGCCCGCGGGGACTGCTTCTTGGAGCTTACACTTATAGGAGCTTACACCGAGCACGGAGCGGCCGAGTTCCGGCTCCCGGAACTTCCCTGGACCGGGGCTAGGAGCCCACGGAAACTGCGTCTCGGTCCGGGTCCTGCTGAGGGCCGGTCAGGTCTCACCCGTTGCTTGGGTTGCCCGGCAAGGGGAACAAAATGCTGCCATTCGCATAGGATACCAACATGGCAGAGATCTGATGTCAGCAGAAAGCGGTGGAGGAGAGATCTTCATCAATACCAGCGGTGACATAAGCAGTTGGTCTCCTGGTAAGGGGGGTGAGGCTCAGTCACCCGAGTCTCCTCAATTTGTCCTCGAGCCAGAGGGAAGGAGCCGGGCCGCCGCCAGCCCCCGGAGCAGGCCCAGCGGCTCGCCAGCGTGGTGACCGCGTGACCCCAATTGGAGAGGGGGCGGAGCGGAGCCGCCACCCACACCCGCCAGGTGGGCAGACCCACGCACCACCCAGTAGTACATGGGCGTGGTAGGAGGGGCAGGGCAGAGCCGCCCTTCGCGCTTGCAAGGTAAATAGACCTGTGACAGCCTGGCGGGTCAGGCCCAGTGGCCTGCCAGTGTGGTACACACGTCACCCCAACTGGAGTAGGGGCAGAGCAGATCCTTCTCCCACGCCCGGATCAGGCCCTGCCGGTGTGGTGGTCACGTGACCCCAATTGGAGTGGGGGTGGAGCGGAACCGCCACCCGTGCCCGCAGGGTGAGCAGACCAGTGATCAACCTGCAGATCAGGCCCAGGGGTCCGCAGGCGTGGTAGGAGGGGCAGGGCAGATCCGCCGCCCGCGCCTTCAAGGTAGGCAGACCTACAACAGACCGGCGGATCAGGCCCAGGAGCCTGCCAGCGTGGTACAAACACCACCCTAATTGGAGTAGTGACAGAGCAGAGTCGCCTCCCTTGCCAGGAACAGGCCCAGCGTCCTGCAGGCGGGGTAGTCACGACACCCCAATTGGAGTAGGGGCAGAGCAGAGCCTCCACTCGTGCCCGAAAGGTGGGCAGATCTGCGACCGACCAGCGGGACAGGCCCAGTGGCCTGCTGGTACGACAGACACGTCACCCCATTTGGAGTAGGGACAGAGTAGAGCTGCCGCCCGCGCCTGCAGGTAGGCAAACCTGCAACCGACCGGCGGATCAGGCCCAGTGGCCTGCCGGCGTGGTACACTCGTCACCCCAATTGGAGTAGGGGCAGAAC